TGCCATACCAACGACCACCACACTATGGCTCCTAGTGGGATCAGCTGTGCTTTTTTGAGCGCCGCCATTCTTCATATTGGACGCATTGTTGTGGGCAGTAAACGGCATAGTTACAGTTTTTCTTCTCTTACACCGTCGTTTGAGTGTCGCTGCATTCACCAAAAACAACGGCAGGTCTCCGAAGGTGTAACTTCCGTAGATATGGGCATCCTACTAGTTGCAGTGGCAAGAAAGGTGTCGATTAAAGCTCAGAATTCGTCTTGCTTATGTTTCTCCACAGGCTTCCGCTTTATTTTCCTCTTGTTCAAGGAATCCGAGCATCCCCGATATTAGGGTCATTTTGTCAAGAAACAGCTTTCCTTTGAAAGCCAATTGTGTATTAGAAGCTGGCTGTCCCCCAACTTTATTGAAAGCAACTAGTTGAAAGGCCGTTCACACCAGACGATTGTTGCTGTCAACTAAAAGTTACCTGTAAAACCGTATTATCCACGATCATCAATGAATTTTAGTCGCATTGTCAGCGTACTTTACTGTGCGCCTGCAGCAAGAAAGCGAATAGAAAAAATTGTATATTACAAGAATGAACCACCCTACTATATCTACCTTTGCCCTTGCTCACCTATACATATCCAAACATACATGAGTGCATATCTGCGTGCATTCATTTATACATTCGTTGTTGTACATAAAACAAAATAGGATGTACATAAATTTTTCCAACAAATATTGAGGGTTCCAAACATTCGTGTACTTACAAGTAGTAATGCAAGTCGACGCGAAAACCTCTCTAGACTTATATTGTATTTACATAAATAAACCCACGTTCCGGAAAGAATATAATGAATTCTTAATGGGGAAAACACCCCTAAAAATGTGATAAGAAACATCTGATTGCATATACATAAAAGCGCGAATATTTACGCGGAAAATTGTATCACAGAATGTAGTAAAAAAAAGATTCGTTATTATATTTTAACTAAATAGTGCAAAACACATATGTAGTGAAAATGAGGTGAAAAAAATGTGTACATAATTAGTTTCTGTCAAGGTACATTGAACAGGTAGTATCAGTAGAGCAGCTGATTTGATTTATTTTCAAATAATTTGGTCTCGAAAATGTCAAATATTTTTAATTTTTTCTCACGAAAATTATAAGTTGTTAAAATCCATTTGCTTGTGAAACCTTTTTCCATACAAAACAAGCGATTGAATAGCAGCTTTTGGAACGTTCGCCCAACTCGGCAGCACGACCGCTGATTACTGGGCCTTGCAAAGGATGGATCAATGCTTCGAGAAGCAAACAAATTTACTAGGAAAGAAAGTTGCATCAATTTTTATTTTTTCCAATTTCAATTTTTTATTTTTTATAATTTTTTGTATTTCACATGGCACGCTTTGATTTAGAAGAAAAAATTCAGAACAGTTGTTGACACTTTCGATACCAGAAGCAACAACAAAATACACGCAAATGTTGTTTTTGCTCTACTGATACTACCTGTTTTATGCGCCTTGGTTTCTGTATTATTTTTGGCTAAAAATATTAGGAAATATCGAAATGTTTGTCGAAAAAATGTGCCGTATTAGTTGTCATGGAAAGCTTTTGTTTCCATTAATATGTATGTATGTATGTAGTGTGATACGCGGCAAGGTACACTCCACTAAATATATACATACATATCGCTACCTTAATTTACAAAGGCCCTAACCAACAAATTTTTTTATTATTTTACAGGAGAAGCAAAAAAAAAAAACATTATAAAAAGAGTATCGAAAACTGGTAGAGCTTTTTAAAAAGTGGCATGTAATTCCGTTGTTTTTGGTGCCAATACTTTAAAATTTTTATTGAAGGTGTATTTTAATACATCATAACAAAATCTGTTAAAAACGCAGTTTCGAAAAAAGTTTTGGTTAGGGCCTTTATGAATTAAGGTAGCGATATGTACATATATATGTAGGCTTTGAATTAATGTATGTACAAGGGAGATACGAAACATTAGCGATGAAACTAACAAAATACTTATTAGAAAGCGCAATGCCAAACAAAAAATGTCCGTAAACGCCTTCTGCACTCATAATGACGATTTGTCCATACAGTGGCGAAAATACAAATATTTGATGAAGTTTTGTTGAAATTTTTTAAATTTTTGTACAAACCCTAAACTTCGGACTTACGTAGTTTTAGTGGAATAGCGAGGCATGCTTACATAAAAAATTATAAGAATTAAATAAACAAGAGAAACACAGTCAAAACTTGTTAAAATGTCGTGTCCCTTTTTATATTTTCGCCATGTGGCCATATCATCTATCTACATACAGTGACTCAAACAAGTGTTCATGTGTTGATTTTTTTAATTTCACAATGTTTTTCAAGCTAAGTTTTTTGTTATTTTTCTATTAAAATAGTGCTCAAGCTTTAGCCAAAATGCGAAACTTGCTTACGCTATAAATTGCGTACCCAAAAGTGTTGTACAGATTCAGATTAAAAAGCTCGACATTTTTATGAAAATTTGTGAAATTTTTCTAAAATTTGTGAAATGTTTCTAAAATTTGTGGAATTTTTCGAAATTTTGCATGCAGTTTGAAACTTTGAGCTGGTTTCTCCAACTCAACTTAACTTAGTTTAGCCAATTATTGACCTTAGCCTAGATGATGAATATGAATAAGTCTAATTTGGAGAAACCCCCATTTGGAGAAATCAACAAGTGAACACTTCTTTGAGCAACTGTATGTATGTACTAGGGTGATTCGACACGGTTTTTCCACACCGGTTTCGTTCGGTTTTTTGAATATGTTTGAGCGGTGGGTTTGTTATCTTGATTTTTCGAATACCAAGTATACCGCATTTCAACAATCGAATAAACCGGGGTGTCACCTAGTTTATTGACATGCCAGAATCTAAAAATTCTAAATATTTATTTTATTGAAAATGGAACAACAAAAAAAATGTATTAATTTTGTATCTGAATACAGGAAAATGTTCCACTGCAGAGAATTAATTAAACAACAATTAAGGACAGAGCTGTCTTCGACTATGCCGAAGGCTTCATACCTTTCATGAACATCTCCGATTTGTGCCTTGACCGATTACTGCATGTTTAAAAATGTTGTTTGAGAGCTTAGCAAAATTTTAACTTGCACTGCATACATAGATGAAGAATCGTCGTATCTGGCATATCTCTTGGAACATACGTAGTCGATTCAAAATTTCTTCCTTGGTCAGAGTGTAGTTTTATAGGTACACCGTATATCGCAAGTAAATTGTGGGTTGTTGTTGTTGTTGTAGCGGCTACAACAACCCCGCCCAGGACGGTTGGTATCTCAGTCGTTGTCGTCAAGTTCCACTAACGGCAGCCCTAGGAAGCGTGCGGCTTCTGTAGGGTTGGTCCACAAGGGCAAGGCCGTTAGGGTTGTCGGGTTTTCCGGGCATACGAAGAGATGTTGAGTCATGTGGGGTCTCTCCGCATGCCGGACACTCATTTGGCACATCCTCATTCAACCTACTCAGGTAGGAGTTTAACCTGCTGCACTAGCCGGGGCGAAGTTGTGCTATTGTCGTTCGCGTCTCCCGAGGCAGATGAAGCTCCGTCTCGTCTATGTCCGGGGGCGGTATGCCTATAACGGCATTCACGGGTCTAGAGTCTACATAACTAGAGACTGACTCCCTGTGAATGCCGTTCAGGGCCAGTCCGTAAGCTGACGGGTCCAGAGGTTTCTTGATGAACCTCTGGACTTCTTCCGTCAGGTCATATAGATGCCTCCTGACGTGCCTAGGCGAGGGCTCCTCTGCAAGCAGCTGTCTGTTTGGGTGATCTAACCCCGTTTAGGTTGGCGAAGTATCTCAGAAGTTGTTCGTAAATTGTGGGTGAATACCTCTGCTTCTGTTTTAGGTTCTTGGTTTGGAATTCGGTATACCTCAATTTTCAATTTTAATATAATAATGTGCAGGTTTGAAATTTCTTTAAAATCCTATTGATTTTTGAATATTTTGTTTTGCTGAGGGTCTTCCATATGTAAATAGATTTTGCTCATGGTATAAAACGCGCAACATCCTCGACAAAAAAATTCTCAAAAATCAATGGGGTTTTTCAGAATTTTCAACCGTGCACATTATTATACTACAATTGAATGGTCTACAATACGCATACCCAATAAGTTTCTAAAGATTTTGAATAAAAAGTTGCAAATTTTGATGACAGCCTTCTTAATTTGTTAATTTTCTTGAATTTAGCACAAACTTTCAACTTTGACTTATAAAATATTCTATATTCTTATATATAATTAGCGAAAAAAATGTGTCCCGCAACACAATGGGAATATTGTAAAAAATAAAAGTTGCTACAGAGGTATGCATGTAGACATACATACATACATAAGTAGGCGGTACCGCGGTCATTTTCCAAAATCTTGTAATAATTTTAAGTGAATTAGCTTCAGTAGTAACTGGTTTATCACAGTTTTCGAATTTCCGTAAATTACCGTTATATAGGAGATGGGCGTGGTTATTTAAGAGATACTCAATCCTTTTCTATGTTTGACGAAAGTCATCAAAAACCTTCGCCCTTGGCTCAAAAGAAATACACATACCAAGTTTCGGTAAGATATCTCGATTTTTACTCGAGTTATCGTGTGCACAGACATTCGGACGGACAGACAGTCACGGCTTAATCGATTTCTCTTTTCATTCTGAGGCCTTTGTGACTTGCGTATAGTAATTATGTATGAAGTAAGACATAGGAAAAAATATAGCTTTTTAATTGTACGTAATAATACGTAACAGTAATGACCAGGATTTATAACTGGCCAAGGACTGTCACTCCTGCATCACTCCCCAAAATAATTTGGGTAATTTGTAAATAGGAAATAGGCATAGTTATTTATATACGTCGTTTTCCCTTTTTACCTGGAATAACCCATATGTCTGTACTACATATATAATAACATTTGCATATCTATTTGCAAAATATGCATGTACATATGTATAAATTACATGGCACTCATACCTACAAAACCTTTTTAAATCGATATTTGGATAAATCCAAAAGCGGATTGATCGGAAACTGAATTCATGTTATCAACAAGATACATTTTATTAAATTTTTACAAAATAATCGCAAGTACACTTTCTTCACTTCAATGCCACTTAAATAGTGAGACATGACTGATTGGATGGGGCAGACTCGCCCTATGGTGAGATCAAACAGAGCTCAAGTGACAGTTTTTCGTGGATGCATGTATGAGCGTATATGCTCAATTATTTATAAACGAACGATATCTCATATATTCTTATGTATATTATATACATTAGGGCGGGTCAATTTTTTTTTCGACATCGTTCCTAGCAGATTCGTATTCTACATAAAATTCTAAGAAAAAAAGCCCTTTAGACCATAGCTCTAAAATCAATTTCGAGCCTGCGCAATTTTAAAAGAAAATATTTTTAATTAATACTAAGTCCATAATCAGATTAATATTTACTAAAGTGTTAGGAATATTTTTTTTTTT